TTAACGCTTAAAATTAAAATCTTCCAGATCTAAGAAAGCTTTGTCCAAATAAGCAAATATTTACGCCAAATGCCAAAAATGCCAAGAGCGCTGTATTAAATGCCAAAATCCCAAAATAGCTATTGCTGTGATGTTGCTGGAAAATTCTCACACAGCGCGTGCAGAAGCTGTGCCAAATCCTCTGATACAAGGCCGTATAAAAAAAAAGTTGCAAATTCCTAAGCAAACAAGTATTGCCAAATAAACAAGAAAGAACTTTGTTGGCATAAATGTTTTCAAATAAAATGTAAGCCATTTTGGGTTCTAGCTTGTATGATTGTTTGTTCTGTTGGGGCATTTGAAATTTTGCACATTTTTCGATGAAAAAAAAACGAAGAAATGAACATCAGTGTCATCAGCGGCTTGTTTTTTTTTGCTACATTATCTTGCTTCCATCCTTGGATCCTTGGATGATGAAGTCATTGGCAACTTGGCCAGCGGATGGTTAATGTCGGCACGAGTTTTCCCTCGGACTACTTTTGACCTGCTTCGTCTCTCACAGAAAGCGAATACGGAGGAGGTTTTGACTAAAGTCAAAAGTCGATTTTGACTTCAGCTTAAATGTTATGAAAAATTCTCATTAGTATTTTTAGCTGGTCTCCGTATCCTAATTTATCGAACTTGAGCATGGAGGGGGACTGTTCTTACAAAAACCTATTCAAGTTCAAAAAAAAAGGTTTTTTTTTTCTCTCAGTTGAGTTTTTTTGCAGGATTATCATCTGCAGGAGTTGTTGTTGAATTTGATGTATGCACCACAGAATTTTTACTGCTATGCACTGGATGCGAAATCAAGCGCTCTGTTCCACGAACAGATGCGAGCACTGTCAGTGTGCTTCCCAAATGTGTTCCTCACCAAGCGCGAATTTACCGTCGACAGCGCTGGCCATAATACCTCGCGCAGTTTCCTGGAATGTTTGCGTATAGTGCGAAAAATGCCTGGTTGGCGGTATGCTATTTTGTTACAGGTACCTCATGTTTTCAAAACTTATGCTACTGCTCCGGTTTGAAACCAAATACCGAGCTTTGCCAAATGCTTCGGACGAAGAGTCGTTGAGCTGCAAATTTCTGCAAAAGAAAAATTGAGTTTGTCAGTAAGGTGACCATCAGTTTGGTGTGGCACCGGTCAAAGTTAGCCGAAAGGTCATCTGTTGCATAATTGAGGGAACAGACTATAAATTAAGAACTTACCCTAATTCAAAGAAATGTTTTTTGCAAGCACGATGTCCGGGCATAAGATCTCAACCTGAAATAAACTTTAAGCTTCGTAGCATTATGTTCTTGATCGATTCAAAAGCGTATAAAAAATGTTTGCTTTAAATTTTATTCTGTTCCGATTTGGATTAAAGGTGCCGGAAAAAACCTGAGAAATTGGAATTTCGCCAAACAGCTTTTTTGTGCAGTGCAGTTTAAATATCTAAATTAAAAATTCACAATTTATGTATTAATTCTGACTGTGCAAGTGCTTCAAATAGAGCAGATTATTATATGAAGTTATGAAATCTCGCAAATCTGGGTATATGCTGTTCAGCTACTGTTTCACCGTCACCTCCCTACCTACCACTGGTGCATCAGGTAGCTTCTTTTTGTCATACTGATTTGGCTTTTAACTGTAGCACAGAATGGAAAATTTCTCCAAATAGCTGGCACTCAGTCTGCCTAATTTGCTTGCGCCTTGAGCGGCGATCCTCTAGGACACATGATTGACGGCTAATGCGCTGTATTGCTTGCCAGATTCATTGTTAATTTCAGAATAATGATATCCCATTGAAAAGCAATCTAGAGATGGTACAGATATTGCAAGCTTTGAACGGTAGCAACGATATCAATGTTGGATATCCTAATGCCGACCGGATGCCAAAAGATGCTCCATGGACGTTCCGCTCACTTCGGCTCTTTAGGGGTTAGCTGTTTCCGAGCCGTCACGAATGTATCCATTGCTTCACAGTCTGCCTTTTCTCAGTGGTACCTGTGAATAGCTGAATAGCATCTTAATGCATGAAAGGAAAAAGGGGGATGCTTGCTAAGGAATCAAGTTGTTTAGGGATGCTTGCTAAGGAATCAGGTTGCTCGTTTCCCAAGCACGGCTCGATAAAGAAAGATAGGTTTTTAATCTGGAATCTCTGTTTAGTTGCATGCTCGCTTTTGTCAAAATTTACAGTGTTGAGAGAAGTAGTAGCTGGTTTAAGATCTATCTAAATCCTGGAAAAAAATGAGCTACGAAAAAGCAATGGCCTCACCCACAATGGCACTTCTAGATCAAAAACACCTTAGGCTCCCTTAATTCTGTGTTATGCTCAAACGTTTCAACGTTAAAATTTGAAGTTTTTTTATCCATTATTTGCCGCTATACGCAATTTGGCATTTTTCTTTTGACTGCACTAGCCTAGTTTCGCCATTCATCCCATGTCTAAAATTTTTGCATTTGATCCACTTGTTTGGGCCGCTTTAATAATTTTACAGTGCCTGTAAAATTCATACTCACTTCATAGAGGAAAGTTAAAAATAATGCTGTTTTTTAGATGTCAAGGAGAATGACGAAAGGGTGCTGCGGATCGCAAAAGGAAGTACGTCAGCGTCGCTGAGCGAAGCGTTCGTGAAATTTGTGCTCGATAAGCTGGACTTAACAGTGCTTCTTGATAAACTTGATGAGCTGAACTACGGTGGCGATGAAATGCTCTTTTCTTCACTGCATTCCGAGGATTTACTAGGTTACATTTTGCAAAATAAATTCTATTCTTTCTCCTATTGTTAAAAACTCGGTGGAAAGCTAAATCTTTAGTGCAACTACGAAAGGCAGGATTCGTTGTGCTGAAATATTTATGTGGGTATTTTGCTTTTTCAAAATTTTCAAAAGCTGTCTTGAAAGAGCAAAAAAGTTTTTCTCTTTTTTCCGTATTTTCAGTTCACAGTTAAGTCACTATAAAGGTAAGGGAGATGTCTGTTGTTTTGTTGATGATTTTTATCACAAATTCATTCAGTTATTAATTCAAAAGTAATTTCTAATAATTTTTTTGCAGAAGTCGTAAAAAGTGTTCTTTGAAGAAAAATTGCAAAAGAATCTGGCCTAGCGCTTGAATTTTTTTAATTTTTAAGGCAAAAATTAATGCCCTATATTTTTTGCTTGAAATTCCTGAGTTTTGCAGACGCTCCAGGTGGATTTACGCGTCAGTGTATTGATAATTACAATAATATGATCACAAGGTAATTTTTCATTGCGCAACATAAATAAGCTCACAACTACTTGGTCAGGTGTAATTTATGTAGCGTTGTTTTCTAACTACACAGTTGGCAACCTTTTCACTTGCACAGAACAAAATTGCATCACCTGATGATCTAATTGCTTACTGATCTGTCGTTCGTTTCGTTTCTTACACTCGTCGGTTCTACTTACAGAAGCTCTTGGCAAAGCTCTGGCAGTTCTGAGATTTCATTGCTGTGCGTACACAAAGCATCAAGGTCTCACCTCGAACGGTGAAGCTCTTCGACGTGATTTTAAGCCTCGCAAGTAGGAATTATTGCATGTGTCTGTTACGCTCTGGAACAATCAGTCCTATGACTCATTCCTTCTCTTCAACGTTGAATTGGTACTACCATATGCCAGAAGCCAAACCTGCCATCAGCTTGCTTTTAAGTAGCGCTCTGAAGAAAGAGTCTTCAATAACCTTGTTATATAGAGCGGTTGCTGTTGGCATTTGCTCCCACTCGGTTTACCTCCCGCACACCGCTGAACCTGTAGAGAGCTAGTACGCCAAGAGTTTTAACGCTTCCAGACGACAATGCAGCTCAAAACATACGCTTTCTTCTTTCATAGTGTGCACATAAAATTGATGGATATTTAATAGTTTTATTTATTTACTTTTATTATTTCACATCTTTCACACCGACAATTCCTTATAACTAAAATGTTGATTGATTGATAAAAAACTCCTGAAAAATCAATAGCACATATCGCACCTCACAATCATTTTCTTCCTAAAGCGTGCTTTTAACTGAGTGCTTTTTTCTAAAGGTACGTGGTGTGGCGAAAATCACCGAAGTTTTGTCGGAGCGGTCTGCTCCGGCACGACATCTGTGTGCTCGGTATCGCTGACCTGCCAGCGTTAAGTGCTTCCAGAGCACTGTTTGCAAATAAAATGCTGCCTGAATTCGATTACACGGCAATCGGTTGTTGGGCAAACGCACTCCACAACCGAACATATTCGTTCAGAAAAATAAGCCAGGCACGACTCCAGTACTACGCAAGTCGCTTGCCAACCAAATTTCACAGCGAACGTGAAAAGTGGCGTAGTGGCCAAGTCGCTTTCAATTGCTCCTGCTGCTAATAAACCAGCTCCAGGATGAAAATATGTTATAAAATTTTTTGCATGAGCTTTAAATGTAAATCTTTTCTGTACACTCTTTTTAAAGCGAGACGAAAATACTGTTTTGTGAATCCAGTGATACTTATTTTGTTATTTTGATTAGCTGTTATTTCATCTTTGCATTATTTCTCACATTTGACGCAGCCCAATTCATATTGGTTTTGTGCCTCTCTCATCCACGTAATATCACCCACCTGTTAAGGCGGACCCATTGTTTGGCGATTTTCATCGAATTCTTTTAGATGCCGTGATACAACGCAACAGTTCGCTCTGTCCATCTTTTGTCTCTCATTTTCGCTGTTCTAGCAGTTAATTCTCTTTTCTGGTGCATGCTGCCTTATTAATAACGTAGTGCTACACTGGAAATGTGCTGCAATAGCTGTCGAATGAAAATATACACTTCGGAAACTTTGAAGAGGCCAAGGATAGCAGGCAGAACTTGAAGGCTGCATCCGTTGGGAAGGAGACGGAGCGGGGAGGACGGGCGGAATCTTGCACCGGCAATCTGGATTATCCCGGTGTTCTGTGTGATGTAAATTAAATTTTGCTAAATCACTTGCCGTTATGGCATGGCAACAGTTTGTGCTATCGAATTTTTTTTTTTGAATAAAAATCCATTTCAGTTTCAATCGTATGCTTGTTAAACTTGATTGCCTGCATTCACGCAATTATGAGCTAGCGGTGCCCGTATCACTCAGTGCCAGTGCTTCACATGAACACCCATAATGCCGAATATCTAGAGCAACCGATAACTATTGGTTTCCGATCTATGCAACCAGGAACTTCCTGCACTGTCTGGTAGTCAACCTACTGTCGTTTTTCGTTTGTTCTCCTGAAAGGATTACCAGCTGAGCGGTTCTGCGGGCAAAAGCATTTTACCTCACTCCAAACGTTGTAACTCCTAGAGCATCGCTGGACGCATTATTTATTAAAAGCATAGTACTAATATACAGTACAAGAAATGAAGTGCGCAAAGTTCGCGTAAAAATCACCAAAACCTGCTACTATTTTTGGCTTTTCAAAACTGTCTTAAAAACTCAGCTTGCAAAAAATGAAAGCATTCACAGCAACTCGAGCAAATTAATTAGTGTCGAGCATTCATTCACTGGCAAAGATACTATGGCTCTTTCTGCAGGGTTCAGGAACGGAAATATATGAATTAACAACACAGCTGAGAGCAGTAAGCAGCCAACATCGCGGAAATTAGTTCAGCAAGAATGAGTAAATGAAAAAGAAGAAAACGCCCAGGATGAAAAGTCCAAAAAAATGAGTTTATTGGCCTAATGTGAACAAAAGTGAAAATTGTTGAGAAATATGGCTTTTTTTCCCGGAAGGCTAACAAAGCTGCCTTGTGCTAGTAGTGCAATTGAATAAAGACCGAGCAATTTCGAGAATTAATGAGTTAAGTTAACTCGATCACATTCTGCCCTGCAAAATTCAATTTTCTCGCTTCAGTACTGGCATTTCCTGATTTTTTTTCTTTTGATTCCTCTTTCCTTCATCAAGAAGAAATTTTGCTGGAGTATTGTGCAAAAAGTACATAACCAGTCATGCGCTTTAAGAACTGCACAAGCTTTACCTCTTTTATGCGTTTTTGCATTTATCTAGAAAAACGCACGGAGGAGAGGTCCTGTATGTTTACATGTATGTATGAGTCTATTTGTTTGTAAATCAAATCCGAGTTCACAAAGTCTAAAAAGCTAAAATTCCAGACCATGGCATCCGGCCACGGTACGAGGTCAACGACTTAAGCTTACATTTACCTTCGCGCCTTGACTTTTGACTTGAAGTTCAAGTCTAAATTAATTTATAACTCGAAGATTTTAGTCGGTGGCAAACAGCTTCAACACAGTTCAGTTACTTGTAACCCGCATAAGCATGCACGGTGCTACTTTTTACTTAAAGAAATTCAGAAAGAGAAATATCGTCAGCCTAGTTTCTTCTGTTTAAACAGTGCAGTACACCTAGGTTGCTTTTAGAAAAAAACACTCGAAATTCTTAAATTCAGTTAAAATATGAAAATTTAGTAGAAAATCAAGAGTATTTTCAAGAAAATGTATGTAAACTTTTGAATATTGAGACTGCTTGCAACAAACCGTTGTTATAGGTAGATGGAGACTGAAACACATGCATGCGCAATTGGGTAAAATAGTGCAATTTCAACTTCGTAAACTGATATGATGTAGTATCTTTCATTTTTTTGTCGGACGTTTTTGGTTTTCTCCTTTCATTATTTTACCCGATTTTTGGATATTTTTTTTGAAATTCTCTAGCAAAATTTACTTTGAAATTTGTGTTTTTCTTGTTTCCGTTTAATTTTTCTGCAGTCATTATCATCTCTAACAATCAATCGAAAGATTTTTTTTAGCTGAAACTCATCTGCAAACGACGATCCTGCCCTGGAATTCGCGCATGCACGTGAATCCTAGATGGCTAGTTTTTCATATGAATTCATACGAAATTTTTAGGGCTTATCTGCCAAGAAACGATTAATCCGCACATTTCCTGAGCCTTCGATATTT